TTTTTTTTTTTTTAGAGAGAGAGAAAGAGAGAGAAAAGCAGGGTTTGAGCTCACCTGATGTGGGACTTGAACTCACCAACCGTGAGATCGTGGCCTGAGCCGAAGTCAGATGCTTAAGAACTGAGCCACCCAAGCGCCCCACGATTCCCCTCTTTTGATTAGACTGTCAGCCTGAGAGATGTGATCAAAATTCTAGGCATGAGCGCCATTTTCAGCTACCACTCTGTAGTTCTCCCAGCCTTTATTGATCCTCTGGGTGACACAGAGGTCACAGGTCATGATGGTTTTTTTGCTGAACCTCTGGTATTCACAGGTCATGACTTCAGGTTTACAATTTTTTAGTCTTTGTTCCTTCTCTGATGCTCCAGTCTTAGGGAGATCATTTACTTGATGGTTAGCCGTTGCCAACACGCATTTAAACCTCTTGAGAGAATACGGCATGCCAGGCAGATTCCCATGGTCATTATAAACCGGATAATTCCCAAAGTCTGGAGCACACTTCAGAGCCACGGTCCCCAGTACCTAATCCAGTCAAAATCAAATGAGTCAAAGACCCTCTGGAAGGAGTCACCTTTTTAAGCCTAGCAGCTTGCTCAGTGTAATTATGAAATTGTACATAATGGGGTATAGCTGAGTTTATGTAATTGGGTTTCAACTACACCCCTGCAGGTGCAGCAGGTTGGCCACAGCACAGACACCTTGCTCAGCGAAAAGATCATAAAGGGTTATCCTATCGTCAAGAACAAACTTTGGCCAGAGAGTCTAAGGATTTTTGTTGGGCAGCTATTTATTTATTTATTAAAAAAAAAAAAATTTTTTTTAAACGTTTATTTATTTTTGAGACAGAGAGAGACAAAGCATGAACGGGGGAGGGTCAGAGAGAGAGGGAGACACAGAATCTGAAACAGGCTCCAGGTTCTGAGCTGTCAGCATAGAGCCTGACGCGGGGCTCGAACCCACGGACCGCGAGATCGTGACCTGAGCAGAAGTCGGCCGCTTAACCGACTGAGCCACCCAGGCGCCCCGAGCAGCTATTTTTTTAATGTTTATTTTTGAGAGAGAGCAAGACAGAGAGAGCACGAGCCCAGGATGGCAGAGACCAGGCGCCCCTATATAAGCTCTTTTCAAGACTGTTTTGCTGGAAATTTTTATAAGAAATCTCAGGTTAAACTCTTAAAAGCCTGAGGCCAGGAAGCAAAGCCAAGGTTAAAGCAGTTCCTTAAAGCTGTCTCGTCATGTCTGAGTTTTACATATCTCTCTCAAATATGATATTCCAAAGTTTTGGTAATATAGCCAGTGTCTTTAAATGTGTCCTGTTACAAGGAGAGAACCGAGTCTTATCGAACTTATGCACATAACTATATGGCCATGACAAGAATACCCAAGAGTTTCTGGAGGGATCGGGTAGGGAGAGAAAATTAACGTTTCCTCTTTGTTTACAAAGGTATACCTTACCAAACTGCTATAAGCCATAGTAAGAGAAAAGAGAAAAAAGTTTTCTTAAATCTGGAAAGGCAAAAAGTTAAGGAGCCAGCAACGTTTCAAACAAAAAGTCCTAAAGACTATAATCATCCCTGATGAGTTCATTCTTTCCCATGTTATGAATTCTTGTTCTGCTGGAATCCAATGTTTCCATTAGTTCTGGAAGTTCTTACCCAGTTCAGTTTTATGACCTTAAAGATTAAAAGAAGACAACAACCCAAAACCCTGTATTCTGGAGCACTTTCTGTGAATTTCCTTGAAATGGAAGCAGTTTGCGGGAAGACTTTCGTAAAAGCATCAGAGTGATATAATAATTCTGTAAGTGACAAAGACGTTTAAATATCCATTCTTAAAGATATGATGAGAGTTCATTAAAATGGAATTGGCAAGAAAGTTTCGTTATTTCTGTGACACTCAATATTTTATTTTATTTTATTTTATTTTATTTTATTTTATTTTTTTTAACGTTTATTTATTTTTGAGACAGAGAGAGACAGAGCATGAACGGGGGGGAGGGTCAGAGAGAGGGAGGGAGACACAGAATCCGAAACAGGCTCCAGGCTCTGAGCTGTCAGCACAGAGCCCGATGTGGGGCTCGAACTCACGGACCGTGAGATCATGACCTGAGCCGAAGTCGGACGCTTAACCGACTGAGCCACCCAGGCACCCCTCAATATTTTAAATAATAACTGGAGTTATGATGTTAACATTATACCAGGACATACCACTTTAAGAGTTTCACACAATTTCTGGGACACTTACCACATGGACCTGTAAAATACAACTTGGAGAATTAGTATTACATCTTATTTGACAGTGTTTCCCATGTAATTTAACATACCCAATTAGCCTAATTAGTTTCACATCTCCCTTCTTATGAAGAAGGAACAAACCTTTTGAGACGTTCCAAGGACCTCTGAAAAATCCCAAAGTGAGTTCAAGGTCAGACTTCATTTAAGAATTTGGTTTTTGGGGCGCCCGGGTGGCTCAGTCAGTTAAGCATCCGACTTCAGCTCAGGTCATGATCCCGCAGTTCTTGAGTTCGAGCCCTGCGTCGGGCTCTGTGCCGACAGCTCAGAGCCTGGAGCCTGCTTCCGATTCTGTGTCTCCCCCTCTCACTTCCCCTCCCCTGCCAGAGCTCTGTCTCTCTCTGTCTCTCAAAAATGAAAAAAAACATTAGGGGCACCTGGGTGGGTCAGTCCATTGGCGGCCGACTTCCGCTCAA